GCTTGTGTGTACTATGGGCAACGCGTCACCATTCCGGACGGGGGAAACTTTAGGGAAGAAGGTATACGTAACAGTGCGTGGGTTTGTTCACGTGACGCAATTTCGCTCGCACATTAGGTAAAGCTGGTCATCCGTCGACGAATCTATACGTACGAGTTTGTTCGTTGGTAGGCGTATGGTTAACATTAGTTTTCGGACCGCAAGAACATTCGGATGCTACTGTGAAAAAACTCGGCTTTTCATTGTTATCGTAAAAAAAAAAAAAAAAACACATTTTAATATCTCGAGGGTTTGTACGTGTTTCAGTAGGTACGTTGCTCCTAACTTACAAATTAAATTAAGCGACCGAGCTGGTGTATCAGATTTTCGGCGAATTTATGATTTGTGCCGACTACATATTGCGAAATATATAAATTTCGAGAACCCAACGTTAATTTGTGCAGAGAACGACGAATGAGTTTGTGAGCACGCAATGGCTCTCACCACGAAATTCCACGTATAGGTATGGGTACCTTATACTCGTGTGAAATGACTCACTTCGGACGTATAGCTCAAACGCGCTTTCGTGCTCGTGCGGATATATTGTAGTTATATTAAACGTTCCCATGAACACGAATGAAAAACCTTAATCAATCACCACGACCCACGCGCTGTTTACAAACTCCAACGCGATGTAAAATATCTTTTTGTCCCTGTTTCCGTTTAATGATCTCTGGACCTTTTTAGCTTTGTGTAGAGGTTGTTGCAAAAAAAAATAATAATAATAATAATAATAATAATAATAGTTCGAGTTTATACGCAAAGAGCGAGCAATTCGCGGGAATTAACTGAAAAGAGTTACGCATATTCCGAGGTGACTCTTGTACTTTTTAAATCTTCGTTGGGGCGAGTTTTTTTTTCCTGCTTCCCATGACTGCTGTTTAAACGAAACAAATAAAAAAGAAAAAGAGCATTTTTATAATTTCGTATGATTCTCGTAACATTATATTTTGTATGTATACGATACCCCGCGAAACATCAAACGACTACGCGTCTTTTTGAAGCTTCGCTCAAAATAATAACCAACGTATTCGTGCCCTGTATTAATGAAGGGAAAGATCGTGCAAAATGATATCCGTGGAGCAAAACGATCCATCTCGATTTCAGCGTATTTACCAAGGTTATAAAGTTAAAACTGTGCGCAATATTCGAAAATAATTCGAGTTCATTGCTGATACTGACAGCGAACCGTTTACTTTTGTATTTGCAAAAACGTTGAAGAATATTGGACACGTGTCGTTTGAATTTATATTTTTTTCAATCGGAATATAGAAATTCCGTTTGGGTCGAAATGATCCCTAGTGGCTCGCATCTGGGGATTCGGGGATCATTTTTCTCTATCGTATTTTTTAGTACTCTGTGACATATATTTCTCTCGAGTATAAACGAAAAATTGGACACCAGAGTGAGAACACACCTGCGTGAAAAGCAATTCTTTTGTGTAAGTGCTCCCTGAAAACAAATACAATTATCTCGCCAGTAAAAATATTTTTTTTTTAAATTGTTGTGAAAGTTGCAGTCAAGATAGTGTGTAGCTTCATTACACATCATAAAAAAAGAAAAAACTTGCTTCTTTAGCCCACGTTAAAAAAGATTTTGTTCTCTTATCTGCCCCTTCGCGGTATCCAAGAGTCGCTGGCTACGCGTCTGATGCTGAAAGAGATGGAGAAAAATAAAATTTCTCCCCGAAGCTAATAAGTCCGGGTTTACCGAACAAGCCGACTTTGCTTTGACGGCGTGCCACTAAATTCATTAAACTCGTGGCTCCGGGCACACAGCAGTAGCTGTTTTCCTTGGAGGTGACGTCCGCAGCTGCTGGCATAACACATGTTAATGCAATTTGGTGGGCCTCTGTGCGCTTCTGCTGGCCGTTTTGAAAGACTCACGCTATGACTGTTTTACATATTAACCGGTAGTACTTTAAATAAAGATTTTGCCTGAAAAAAACCTTTTTTTTTTTTTTTTTTTTTCCATTTGGTCCGACAATCAAAGTATCCATTAAAAAAATCACTGGATACGTTATTATTTTAACTATAAAAGAAAAAAAAAAAAAAAAAAAAAAACACCAATAGGAATTCAGTGCTTACGAATAATCCACTAGATGGACAAGGTTAAGGATTTTTTTTTCCATTTGTTCATTCGATAATGTGCATATTCACGAATTTTATGATAAAAATATGGGATAAATGTAGTTAATGTCATAGCGAAAGTAAGGCTACTCATTGCCAGTTCCTGTTTCGAGCGCGTGGAAAGACTCTGTCATGGTTACGCTCGAGCGACTTGTTGACAGAGAAACAAGGCCAAACTATCGCGACTGGCAGGGCAGGGGGAGGGGTAGGGATGAACAGGAAGTTTTAACGAAATCCACGTAAAGTTGATAAAGCCCGTGTGACGCGCACCGCTTCTTTGCGATGAGGAAAGATAATTTTTCCCTCGTCGTGAAAGTAGTACGTTGTGTATACATAATCTAGGATTATTCACGTCGTAGGATACGAAACTTTTCGCATACCTGGCAATTATTTTTTCAACAAATTGTTTTTTCTTTACTTTGGTTACATCAACTTCGTATAGCTGACTGACTAGATAATACCATCCACTGCGCTTCTACTCTGTATTTGCTTGTTATTTTATCCCATCGCCTGTTTTTCCACTACATTCTACATTATTATGTTAACATGCTCATAACCTGTAAATTTCTATTAACAAATAAACAAATTAATGTATTCGAAGAGACTGTAGAGCCAGAGCAAACAATTAAAAATCCAACCTCATCGGCAACAGGCGGGAGAAGAGTGTATGGCCTTTAACGTTGTGTCAGTAGAAAAGCGCCTTTTACGTCAGCCAATGTCTGATAGGTCAGACACTTATTTCTGTTATTTTCTGATACGAGTGTACTTAAGTATATTCAAAATTTTCTAACGCCAAGAACAAAGTACACATTTACAAATAGCCTTCAACGCGGTATCAGTAGAAAAACGCCTGTTAGGTCAGCCCCTCGCTTACGCGGCACTGTACGCAGGGTAAATGCCTAACGCGTCAGATACTTATTTCTGTTGTTTTCTGATACGAGTGTACTTAAGTATATTCAAAATTTTCTAACGCCAAGAACAAAGTACACATTTACAAATAGCCTTCAACGCGGTATCAGTAGAAAAACGCCTGTTAGGTCAGCCCCTCGCTTACGCGGCACTGTACGCAGGGTAAATGCCTAACGCGTCAGATACTTATTTCTGTTGTTTTCTGATACGAGTGTACTTAAGTATATTCAAAATTTTCTAACGCCAAGAACAAAGTACACATTTACAAATAGCCTTCAACGCGGTATCAGTAGAAAAACGCCTGTTAGGTCAGCCCCTCGCTTACGCGGCACTGTACGCAGGGTAAATGCCTAACGCGTCAGATACTTATTTCTGTTGTTTTCTGATACGAGTGTACTTAAGTATATTCAAAATTTTCTAACGCCAAGAACAAAGTACACATTTACAAATAGCCTTCAACGCGGTATCAGTAGAAAAACGCCTGTTAGGTCAGCCCCTCGCTTACGCGGCACTGTACGCAGGGTAAATGCCTAACGCGTCAGATACTTATTTCTGTTGTTTTCTGATACGAGTGTACTTAAGTATATTCAAAATTTTCTAACGCCAAGAACAAAGTACACATTTACAAATAGCCTTCAACGCGGTATCAGTAGAAAAACGCCTGTTAGGTCAGCCCCTCGCTTACGCGGCACTGTACGCAGGGTAAATGCCTAACGCGTCAGATACTTATTTCTGTTGTTTTCTGATACGAGTGTACTTAAGTATATTCAAAATTTTCTAACGCCAAGAACAAAGTACACATTTACAAATAGCCTTCAACGCGGTATCAGTAGAAAAACGCCTGTTAGGTCAGCCCCTCGCTTACGCGGCACTGTACGCAGGGTAAATGCCTAACGCGTCAGATACTTATTTCTGTTGTTTTCTGATACGAGTGTACTTAAGTATATTCAAAATTTTCTAACGCCAAGAACAAAGTACACATTTACAAATAGCCTTCAACGCGGTATCAGTAGAAAAACGCCTGTTAGGTCAGCCCCTCGCTTACGCGGCACTGTACGCAGGGTAAATGCCTAACGCGTCAGATACTTATTTCTGTTGTTTTCTGATACGAGTGTACTTAAGTATATTCAAAATTTTCTAACGCCAAGAACAAAGTACACATTTACAAATAGCCTTCAACGCGGTATCAGTAGAAAAACGCCTGTTAGGTCAGCCCCTCGCTTACGCGGCACTGTACGCAGGGTAAATGCCTAACGCGTCAGANGTATATATGTATGTTACTCGTGGGTGTCCCTTTGATCTGTGTTTCGATATTTTTTTTCTTTTTTTTTTTTTTCCCCCTCTCACGTCATTTTTACCGGTTAAAATTATTCTTAAAAAAAAAAAAAAAAAAAAAAATGGAGAAAAAGTGTATTAGCTGGTTCCAACTTTGCCTAACTTTCATGGTAATGATGTCCAACGTGTACAATGTTTTACGGGATACAACGATTACAATCGCGTGATGCTTTTAGCACGTGTGACGTGTTTTTTGTTACGAGAATGAACTTTATGAAAGAAACATGTAGTTTGAAGTATCTTAAAGTTGGAAAGAGAAAAAAAGCAACCACAACAGTTTTTTTATCCCCACTTTGCTTTCACAAGTTTTTCTCCGAGAAGTACTCCGGTAGCTCAAGGGAAAATTCCCGTGTAGCCTTTCAAGTAATTTTCATAAGAATTTTTTTTCGCATCTTCCACCCGAAAGACAAAATCTTTGATCAAAAGATGCGACATAAACCGAATCTGCATCACACCACGACACACACACACACAGGGTCGTAACGTACCATATACGCATGTCAGGCGCAGGCGCGACGCCACGAGAGTCCACGATGCCGGGTTTCTGTGCACTGCGGGAGTCGACATCAGTGCGCCGCGGGGCTTCAACGAGCGTTGGTCTTCAAGTTGGACTTGCGTACACTCGTACCTATACAATCGTACACCTCAGTCTCGCGGCGAGCGGCACGTGTTCAAGCCTCTCCACAGAACTCGCTTCTCCTCCCCCAAGTGTGGATGTAGTCCTGATTTTACTTTACTTTTTTTTTTTTTTTTCTTTTCCATTTCCAAACGCAATTGCCAAATCTGTTTGTTCAATCGAGGAAGAATCGCTGCCGCGAAGACATGCCCGAATTCACCCCCAAAGTACAGAGGGTGAACGCTCGGTAATAGCATACCAAAGCTCACGCGTTTGAACATAATATATATACACATGCCACAAGCACCGTGTTACAAGCCGGCAAAAACACACGGGATGTAACTGGCTAGCTTCGTATAGGAGAACACACACACACACCGGCTGTCAAAGACTCGATCGTAACAGCAGGACTGGAGGAACCCGTGCACGGAAGCAGTTGGCCGAGGTAAGCCGTAATTTATTCCCTCTGTGCGCAAAGTTTGTCCGCTGTAGCTTGTTTTTTCGGGTCCCACAGCTTGCATATCATCTCTGTTATTCGACGCTCGGCGGCCCGGAAGCTCATTTTCATTCGTTCTTGTGTAATGTCAATACACCGATGTAAATACCTGTCCTGTGAGCTACGTTAGATCCGAGTGGTGGGAAAAAAAACAAAAAAAAAAAAAAAAAAAAAAAAAACAAGTGTCGAAAAGGGGGGAAATTTCCGAGCAAAGGGTCAGAGCAGGAGATAGAAGGAGGGGAGAAAAAAAAGGAAATTTCATCGTCAAAGGGTGGGTGGAATTGATGAAAACGTATTGAAGGGGCACGAGCCACGGGGTAATTTTGCGGTGCTGCCGCTTACATCAGAGTCACGGGCGCAACGTGCTCCCGCGGAGTCTTTCATCAGAGCGAGGGGGCTTGATAGGGGGAGACCGGCGCGTATGTATACGTGTACTATTTTACGATCGCCCACGCGATCGCTCGGGAAAAAAGAAGAAAAGCGCTCGGTGCAATTTCGCGGCAAGCGCCGTCATATCAGCGGAGCAGCCCCATTTATATACCATGTATACCTGTACACATGGCTTCTGGAGCAGAAAGTACACATATGCCGGTATACGCTGGCGCCGTGGCCTGGCGTTTCATTAGAGGCGCGTTGTATACTTGTACACGCGTATGGACATAGCTGGCCCCACGGCTGTTTATCTCGATTTCGCTGCCACTACCCCCCCCCCCATTTCAACGACCCTTCCATGCGCTTACCTCTTTTTTTTTCTTCTTCACATTTGCTGCCCTCCGTGGGCGAGGAATAAAATTGTTATCTCTTGTTTCGCGCCACAAAGTGTAGCCCAGTTGTGATTGTTCGTTTCACCAACTTTAGCGGCGCTACGGGTAGATATATATATATATGCATGTACGTGGCACACCCACGTATGTGCTACATAAAACCACCCTCCGGGCCGAGTTTGGGAATTTATAACGCACCTGTTGCCTTCGCTCGCCCCCCACCTCCAGCTTTCGCGGATGGTGGTTGCTTGTTTCGTTGTGGATTTTCAGATTTTCGCGCGAGTGACGGGAGCCTTTTTTTTTTCTTCCTATCCTCTCTGTAGTCCACAATGGCCCTTTGTTTTTCTTCGAATAATACGACGGAATGGCCGTGTTGCGGGTTTTGAAAAAGTTTCAGCAAAGCACCAGTGCAACGATCGTACACAAGCTGCTGCAGAAAACAAAGGAAGCTTTCATAGAGAGAGAGAGAGAAAAATAGGGCTCGCGTAGTTCTCGTGGCTGCACTCGCGCAAAGTACAAAAGTCACGTAGAGCTTCGGAATGACGGATCCGCACGTTTGGGGATGTTTTTCACCCCCCCTTCTCTTTACCAAGTATACGGGTATTATAACACACGATGCACCTACCCCCAACCCCGTGTATCACATATTATGTTCCAGTCTTGAACTCTGTTTCTTCTGATCCTTTGCTGACGCTCGCGTGCTTTGCGTATGTATAACCTATATTAATTTGTTGCGTACGCGTACTGTGCATTAATTCACGATGTATCAATACGTGGATCGCGCGCTTTAACTGTTATATATATAGAATCAAATAGAACATTCTCCTCATCCATATTTCTTTTTTTTTGTGTTGAGCACTTGCTCTTCTGTCACGGCTCCGGTCTCTGCTGTATCACTGTAGTGTGCGTACACTGTGTGTACAGGCTTACATGCATACATTTTTAGTGGAATAATTATTCTTTGTGTAGAGAAACGTCGGAGCATACTGTCCACGTGTGCCATGATGATTTAATTTTACGGCTTTTAAACTTAGGCAACGTTACGTGTAGAGTTGCCTGTTCTGTTTTCATGCGCANATGCATATTTATAAACACGTTCCGTCGATTGAGCATGTAGATATCATACGCATGTAATGAAATTCAATCTCCATGGCCTCTCTCTCTCTCTCTTTTTTTTATCCCAGGCTCCACTCGCACTTCTTGCAGGACACACGGTATATCGCTTCCACTGTTACAGCTCTGTCAACGTTGCTCATAAACGCAAGTAAATCCAAGCAAATACCGAACAGTAGGACGCGAGGAATAAACAATGGCCTCGACGCGCCCACGTGCCTCGCGTACAAGTGTACCCCGTGTTATTCGGCTGGATAATCTCATCGAATTCACAAGCAAATCTCGGCTTGCATGCCTCTGTTATCTCATTTATCCTCTGCTCTGTGTATATACGTACGGTATATATGTATGTTACTCGTGGGTGTCCCTTTGATCTGTGTTTCGATATTTTTTTTTTTTTTTTTTTTTCCCCCTCTCACGTCATTTTTACCAGCAGAATACGATGATCCACGTGACATGTGTGTATATCATTAGCAATGATCTCCACGTACGGTAAATACAAAAAAAAAAAAAAAAAACTAATATTAAAAAAAACACGGATGCGTCGGTGATTAAAAATTTCCACGTGATGCGCTTCGCCACGGGCGTGTACGACCATACGGATTCTCAAACTTCACCGGAACAAGTCTCTTGGAGGATTTTATTTGTCAACAGCGCTCAGCCAAAGAAGCTCCACCCAAACCCCCGTAAATAAACACAGTATGCGAAAAAAAAAAAGTGTCGATCGAGTGGCCGGGAACTCGTTAGTCGGAGTAAACACGCTCTTTCGTTGATGCTCTCTTGAGTTTTTTTTTTTTTTTTTTTTTTTTTTTTTAACACACACTCCACTCCCAGTAAATCATCGTGTTGATTTTATCCGATTCGTGTGATAATGTGTGTACAAAGCCCCTTACCCACGATACAACATATTTCTAAACTCCCACCTGTAATAATCCTCATAAATGCAATATTCACGCTAACATGATTATTTAAACGAATATTACACAGCACGATGGACAATATGGTGAAATAATGCGACGGCGCACAAGCATCACCGACGAGAAGACGGAGGCGGAGGGGGAGGAGGACGAAGGAGGGGACAGGAAAAAAAAGGTCACCAGGACCCATTAGGATACGCATTATTATACAGGCAGCTGGGTGCGCTGCAAGAGGCAATAATTGTACAGGCAATCGAAGGGAATAACGGAGAAACGATGGATACGGGTGGCGAGAAGTTGCAGCCGAGGGGCAGCTCGGCGACGAGGCTCGTCTACTGTCTGCTGTTGGCTCAATTCCTCGGCCAGTTGTTGAGCTTCGTCTACCTGTACGGCCAGCTACGAGGGCTCGAGCTCGAGGTGCGAGCGCCGTGGGACGCCAGTGCTACGGCCGAGCGCCGGGTCAAGCGCCACGACTGCGACAGTAGTGTAGCTCAGCGTCCGGTCGGCCGGATCAGGCGCAGCAGTGCCATGCCCGCTACGGAGGACAACGCCGTCTCCGAGGTCTTTAGGGTGAGTGGATCTTGCTTTTTTTACACTTTTTAATTTGCACACCTCCCCACAAGCGAAAACGGAACTCAACGCCAAGCCTTGTTTTTAACGAAGGATCGGCATCGACGTCCATTACTTTTGTTCGTTGTACAAGCGGTGATTAATTGGATGAAAAAAACAAAAAACAAAAAAAATTATAAACCAAGTACTAGTTGTTTAATTATGTTTATGCTTTACTTTATAATTTAAGCGCAGAGGGTAGGGGCGAGAGTTGTACAGTCGAGCTTGTTTCGTTCAAACTTTTTCTCCAGGCTTCGAGACGAGCATATAGCGCCGGTGGAATTGAAACAATACACAATTACGGGGCTGGTTACGAAAGGGCCGGGATAAAACTATAGGCAGAGGGTAAAAACATTATGCGATGTTGTTCGCGTACTCTCGACTGACGAGCAAAATGAATATGAGGATCAATTATCGCAGCGAAGACCCGTCTGCGTTGCTGCAGGGCGCGATTTCTCGTTTTGCATTGAAATTTCCATGAAATCAAGGGGCAGGTGATTAAAATAACAATAAGCGCGTCGAGGGTTACGAATTTCGCATCCGGGAGTTTGCGCTTTTTCTCCCAATTAACATCTCAAAGGGCGCGTTCTCGTGAAACAAAAACAAAAAAACAAAAAAAAAAAAAAAAAACCAACGCAACTTTCCCCCGTTGGGCTGTGTCACTCGCTCCCTACGACCAGCTTAATCCGACACCAGCTGGCAATTCCCACGGCGCGTAAATCAGATGAGCCTTCCCACCTCGTTCCTCCCTACCCTCCTCGCTCTCTCCGTCGACGCTCCACTGGGACAGCTTAAATATTTGGCGAGGTGACCCCCTCCTGGTGCTACTGTTGCTGTTGCTCACCCCATATATATATATATAGATGTATATGTGTGGAGAAGAGGAGAAAGTGCCAGAGTGGCTTTAAATTTATCGCGATGTCGCGCAAGAAATTAAAAGGAGGAAGGGAGGGTGGATTACTACCCTTACCCCCTGAGCTGAGATTCACGCGGCGTCATGTCGTGGGGGGAGGGGGGGGTCAGAGGATAAAAAACGCGCGTTCACGTAAGTATATGATACGAATGGGCGCAAACTTTGGGCCGTACATTGTGTGCACGAGAGTGCTGGGGTGCGTTGGGTATTAATTCCCGCGAGTCTTATCGCGAAATTAATTTGACCGCGGGGGTGGGCTGATGTGACGTACTGCGGATTTTTTTTTTTTTTTTTTTTCATATATGCGTTCGCCGACCGAGCGAGGATCGTTGCCCCCTTGCGTGCGAGACGACCGAGTTGTTTGACCTCGTTTTATTCCACGCGTATAATATACCTGGAAGGCTTGATTTTTAATTTCTGGGCTCGCTCGACATCTTTTCACGGAGGACGACGAACCATAGGAAATTGTATATGACTACCGCGAAACGGTTTATTTACTTTGATGATTGTTTATTCCATCCTTTGAAGTTACGGCTTTTGAACAGTTTTGCTTGCATATCAAAGCTACGCAAACTACCGTTGAGACCTTTTTTTTTAACCCCCAATCAGTTCCCGCAGATAGAATTTCCATGAGGTATTTAGAGCTTTTATCGAGTACCTACTGGAATTATTATTAGTATTACTTTTTTTTTTTTTGTCAATTATGCTCGATGAATAAAGTTGAAATCACATACAGCTCGCACGACCTATCTCCCGATGATAATCAAATTTGACTTTTGTACACGCACAGCAGTTATCGCTTTGGGAGTGATCAAAGGTTTCGAAGGGCACAGTTGATTAAAAACGATGCGAGCGTCGACCTACAGTGAGTGTAGCGTGTTTTTTAATTAACGAGCTCAATTAATTATCGATTTTATGCGTTTCAGGATCCTATAAACTTTGCTCGTTTCAATAACAACATGCTCATTCGTGCGATCCTACAAAATACAAAAAGAGAAAAACGTTATTCTACCGATGTAACCTTTTGTACTGGTGGATTTTGTTGTTCGCAGGTCGTAAATGAAGTTGCAATCGGTGTAAGTTTGTAAATGTCGTGTAGTTGAAAATTTCAGGATTACCAAAGGACAAATGAAATCAAGTCCCCGCAATTTAGTCCATTTCGTCCATGGCTCCCGTATTACCCAACTCTTCTGTTTCTACTTGGACTTTTTTCTACAAATCACACATTCGTTACATTTTTCAATTCGACGAGGAATCCCATGCCCCGACAATTCCTCCGTCAACTTATCGTTTCGACATTCAAAAGGAGAAGAAGAAGAAGAAAAAAAAAAGCCCATCACGTATATAGCCGATGTAATGTAATGTTCCCTACCACCTCGTATCCTACGTCGCCCGTGCCGTTCGTTCTGCGGTTCGCGGAGAGCTCCTCGAAACGAGAAGTTAAGAGGATTCCCTTGAAAGGAGGAGAAAAAAAAAACCAAGGATCGTTTGCACGTTGAAACGCCCCTGAGTGGCTAATGGAATCTCGGCACTGCTCCCTGCAGAGCTCGTGTGCGTGTACACACGAGCAAGGAGAGGTTCAGGGACCTGTTATGCGGAGTAGAGAGAGCGAGCTCGTTGTTGTAACAGCCGGTAATTGGGCTTCGCACTGTTCTTTTTTTTTTTCCCTGCCGAGTACCTGCGCAGACAGTCTTGAAAGCTTCTCGGCTGTGACGTGGGTATAGGTGTATATATATTGTGCCAAGTATGCTCAGGAGTTTCTCGTGTTACCCGTAATTTCCGTTCGGCTGGTGGTAGACTCCTTATGCGGCCAATTAACGGGACAGGAGGTTGCGAGGGAGGGGGTCGAAGCATCGCATCAGTTATCAATAACCCATTGTTTCGAGTATAATATACTGACGTTTTTCGAAGCTGAGACGCGCAAGAGTCGAAATTTTACCAAATTGATTTTACAACGTGCATGATTTTGTGCATCGACAAGTCCGTGGAAAAAAGTTGTAGGGGGGCAAGGCGGTAGGCCTCGATTGTTTGAACTTCTCAATGCGAAAGAAAAGCGCGTTCCACGAGTTTTTCGCAAACTTTAAAACCCCGACTTGCTAATGTAATTGAATTCCCGCGGGAGCTTCCTACGAGTATACCACACGTGCTCGGTTGATGGGATTAGAAGTGGAAAGGCAATCTACATGAAAGGCGTCTACCGTATGAGTGATTTTACGAAAATAAACTCGAGGCGTAGGGCTTATGGAACACACATGTATACACTTTCAAGAACATGCTAATCTCGAATAGGCGAATCGAGTACCGAAAGCGCGATCCTTTTTGAGCCTCCGCGTGTAAGTTTTTCCATCGTAATGAAAAAAAAAAAAAAAGTTTGCGGTGATTTTTCATTAATCCTAAGGCATAGGTGATGTGCCTCGTAGTAACATTTTTCTTTACCATTACCTCAAAAACCTTGCATCATTGGTCTATTGTAAAATCACTCGACAAGCAAGCAAATGCCTGTCGAATAACGCAACACATTTCCAAGCAAAAGATCGCCAAGGTGACACGAGAAACTTCCAAGCCACGGGCTTTCCATCTCACCTACGGCGACGTATGCACGATCGGCTCGTTAAAAAAAACTTTTCCACGGAGCAGCACCATTTTTCACCCTCAACGACTCTTGGCGACTACTAAAATCGATATAATATTAACGAGCGTAAGCCAACGACGGCTCGAACTTTGCCGAACTTTGCCCCGTCGGGGAATTATTCAGCGCATTACCGATCGCGGGTGGCGTGGCGAAATAGCATAGGTATATATATAGACACGAGGAGCACGCGCGCGCGTACGTTTTATTAAATTAATTATAAATGCGTGTGGCCCCGATGAATATGGAAGGGGCGACGATATGAGCCAACCCCAAGCCCATTCAATCGTGTATACTATATACATGTTGCACGTGCTGCTTGTATGGTGGTTGCTGTCGGGTGTATATATATGCGCATTGAAGCATCGTATTTGCATAATCATCTATTCATTACAGGCCCGCGACGACAAGGATGGCAGCTCGAAGGGTACCAAGACGGCTTCGCTCAAGGGTGACGAGTGGGTCTGGCTGTCGGCCGATACTCGGATACCGGTAAGCCCTACATTTCATTATTATATTTTCCGCTTTGCAGGTGCTTGATCGCGTGTATTTACGCCACGATTCATGCATTCACGCTCAAACAGTGTACAATATAATCACTCGGGGATCCTCTCTGTATTATTTAAATGAAGTGCGTTTGACAGGTCGCTGCGAACACCAAGGATGGGAAGAGCTTTTCTCGATGAGTGTGTAGGTTCAGTTTTTTCGATTACGCGACCGAAATTTCGTTTTTGGTGGTTCTACAAAAAAAAAAAAAAAAAAAAGGCAGAAGCGAAGAAAAGAAAATAAATATTCCTAGCTGGGTGATCGGTATGCAGGTAGAGAATTTTTGTCATTGCTCTTGCGCGCATCATTAATTTTCACTTCTAGCGAACGATTTTTGGTAAATGGCGATGATTGTATACGAAAAGAGAGGACTAGACTTTCCCTCGCATCGGTTGTCCTTGTGGTAACACAAGGCACCGAGGGAAAACGAATTCCGTATAGGCGAGTAAATGGACAGTTTTATCTCATCAAGCCCGTGTTTGCACAGCGGGTAATCGAATCTGTCGGTTTAACGCTGTGGTTGCATGCATCTCTGCACGTAATTGCATACATGGTGCAACAAAAAAAAAAAAAACTCCGATTTTTGCAGCTCAGCTTTGAGTACAGTTGGAGCGTCAGTTCGAAACAAATTCGACGGCTCTGGTGGATGGGGTTGAAAACATTGATCGGATCGAAAGTTACAGGGTGATTGAAGTTTGGGTCAAGGGACGGTTAACGGTCATTCATCAGCGTTTATTTTGACAAGAGCCCGCTCAAACAAACCTTCCGGCCGAACATCCATATTTCTCGTTTTACCACCACCACCACAGATCCAATTAAAACTCCTTTCAAGAGCTTTTCCGTTCCTTTTTGACCGAAAATTCCAAGTTCAATTACAACAAAGGCAGTAGAGTGAGTACAATAATGGAACATTCTGGTTTTACTGAGATCTCGATCCCATCACGTGCCGCGTCGTGTATACCTGCAACGAGACTCACGCCAGCTCTTGATTCTCCAAATCGCCAAATTTGGTCTTTCCACGAACGCGTTCGAGTTCAGGTTTGGCCGCCACACGCAACCACTACATTTTTACGTTCGACATGTTCGGATCAAAACTTACGGCAACGACTCATTTACGTGATCGTGAACCTCGAGCTCGATCGCGTGTGGATGGAAGGACTCGATCGGACCCCCGCTTATTATTTTCCATCCCTTTGGCAGTGTCCGATCGAAAGATGGGCCCCCGCCTTTGTGATTTATACGCCGAAAGTCCTGCCCCATTGAGCCTCTGACACTGCCTCGTGTCCGTTTTAATGGGGTTATCGACCACCTCGGGGCTCCGGATGCACGGGGGCCGGGGTGTATACCACTTCTGACATCGGAAATTCAAATTCCGCTCTCCCCCTCATGCAGAATATCGACGCAGCTACGTCAAGCCGAGAATATTTATTTCACGTCAAGTCTACCAACGTTATCTGTGTGTACGGGCGGTGCGCATCGCACACTGCTCGCGAGTACCCCGTTTCTTTCTTTCTTTCTTTCTTTTTTTTTTTTTTTTTTTTACATTGACAAAAAAATTCACGAATTAAGGGGCAAGCTGAACCATAATGTCAGGAATGACGCGTAAGACGTGTGTGTGTATTGATTGATGCACGTGCTGAGCTCGTAGAAATGTTCGCTGTCGGGGAGGGATGGCTACACGTATCGCGGAAGCAGCAAGAACGCGGTCTCGGAGTATATGCATATCTCGGTAATGCCGAGTGAGACGGGAAGGAGGGAGCTCTGCCAACTTTTTCCATTACCTCGCGCGCCGCTGCAGGTCGATCCGATCGGATGAGATCGGCAGGGCTCCCTCGTCGGGGAGTCGATGTGCCACTCACCGAATGTGACATTAAGTCATGCAGATTTCAATAATAAACATTTGCTTGTTAAAACTCGATCAAGTTAAAATATTGATACTACATGTGATATATACAGGTCATGCGTCGGATTTCTGGTTTTTCATTAAATCTTCGTACACGGTATTGTATTTGATTGCAATTTCGTTTGTTTGTTTGTTTGTTTGTTTTTTTTTTTTTTACTTTGGAAGTCCTACAAAAATGATTTTTCTAGTACCACTCTACGATCCGTTAGCATAAAATCACTCGAGGTAGAAATTCAATATTTATTATTATTAAAAAAGATTGTTAAAACAGGTTTCTCTACTCGAGATGCAAAAACTTTTTACCAATTTCAAAACGAAATATCTTTACCGTGTGATGTATATACTCGCAGGCATGTATAATTGTAACACACAACTTTGGAAGTACTTCAGTTTGAAAGAGGATATAGATATTTTAACGGAGTAACGCTTCCGTACACACACGGGGAAGAAGTAAAAGTATCGTCGCTTCGTCTCAATCCGGCGCGTCAATCAGACTGTCCGATCGACTTTGCGAACCACCTCCTCCTTCTTGGCAACATCTCTCTAACTTTGGGTCTTGTAGCTCATCCCGGGCTCCAACAGTTCTAATCAAGCAACTCTCGGAGAGGAACCAACTCCGATGGTTGGCCGACGCAACCGCACCAGCTGTAATTGACGCTAGCGATTAATGACCTGAGATATTGTACGCCCCTGTTGCTCGAGACACCAGTTTTACGCCATTTGTTTTTCAGCAGTGCGTGATAAATCACATTAACATTTGGCTTTGCTCATTTTCCATATTTTTCGGTACATCGAGTCATCGTTTAAAAGATAATGTCCGAGGGGGTACGATTGTCGCACAATGGCAATGCGGTCGGAGTCGTGTTTTCACTCGATTTCAATTCAATTGAAATTCACGAGGACAATGGACTCCTCGAGAGGGAAGATCATCGAGGGAAAAGCTCTCCGTGTCCACGGCAAAATCGTTTCGAGCTGTACATGCAGAGATGGCCCGAGAGATCGGATACAGAGAGAGAAGGAGTGAACTCAAGGGTAGTTTCGTCATTTTGGATTATATTACACTTCGTACGATCGGGATTTTCCGCACAATATATATATATATATACAGGGGAGAGGGGGTTAAATTCAACGGAGGATAACAGTAATAATGGAAAGGAGGGGGATAAATAGAGTTTACATACCCCAATGCTCATGCGTCGAAGGTAGAGAAAGACTAAAAGCTGGCTATTTGAATAGAGAGCGCTAAACCCGCAAAACCCTGTACGTCGATGTTGTCATTGGTGCGAGAGAGAGACCGGTGCAAAGATTCTCTGTGTGTCTCTTTCCAATCACTGGTTATAGTCACAGTTATAGATAGAGACACGCAAGGGTATTTTTGCACCGGTCTCTCTCGCACCGTGGGACTGCATGGCCTGGTACAGGGTTGTGGGGGTCTAGCGCTCTCTATTCTTGTATATCTCTATGCTCAACTCTCTTGATGGGATGTGCTTGCGCGCGTGTGTTTACCAGCTACCGGAGAGAAAATCCTTAAGGAGGGGGGAACGTGGGTATACACAATACATTATTATATTATACTCCTGCCATGATCTTTGCGTTTGCGGTATTAGCTCACTGCTCTCATAATTGTTTGCGTTCGGTTAATGGATGGCTATAATGAGTTATAATGAGAATATACACCTATTGTTTATTATCATCTCGACACTCGGTGGGGCCCAACATAAGTGTGTGTTCTCCGCAGAGCTGTGTACTCGTAGAGTCAAACAACCAGCACTTTTCTTTCTTTCTTTCTTTCTTTCTCAATTTAAAGCTCGATCGAAAAGTCGGACTCGTTGTACCAGCCCTTTTCACCCCAGTTCATTTCACCCAAAAAGGCCATACATGTGCTTTTCGAGAGCCATATAAGCTGCTCTCGCCACCACCTAACGCGCATACACACGTCTGCTCGTAACCTCTTGCCAGCTCTAATGAAATCGGATAAGGCACCTTACACACACATATATATATATATATGCTGTGGTATCGCTCTCGTCCATTGGAACTTGTCTCCCTTCTCTCTCTCTCTCTCTCTCTTTTCCCTTTCGTCCCACACAATACACACATCCAAAAGCCCACCAATGCGGGGGATGTGCGCAAACACCCGGCCATCTCCCTTGGGCTGCTCTCTCGGCTGGAAAGCCACGAGATTACCCGAGCTGGGTGTGGGCATATACGGAACCAAATCTCGTCGCTTTTACGTATCGCGATGAACCGATCGCGGCAAACCACACGCGGTTACAGTACATATAATATACATCAGGAGGTGAACAATATGCGACGGTCACGTTGGGACCGAGAAACATAACTTTAAAAAGCAGCCAACGGGAGTATAGGTACAGCACTTACCAGGCTCTCATCGAAAGCTCGGAATCGCCGAGCCACCAGTCAATATTTACACACCTACGTAATTGGACACGCGGGGGTCGACGACCTATATATCCATGCTTTATACATCCAAAGTTCTCGGCGAGTAGAGTTGCCTCGAAGAAATGCAAAAGAGTCACCGGTGCGACTGCCAACTTTCCGAACTCGAATCAACGAAAAAGCTTCCGGCGAGCCGACTCGCGTGAGAAGCCGGGGGGGGGGGTTGGAGATGTGTATATGTCATATGTACATTTAAGTCGATGTAACAGACGGGGCTTGCAAACAATAACGCAAACTCGAGAGGAGTAAGAGTGCCGGGTCGCGGGGTAACGGAATTAACCACTGCTTTGTTGTTACTTTTGAACTTTTCTGGGACAGTACGACGCGATCGAGACCTTCTGCCGCAAGTCCAGCGAGTACTGTCCGCCGGGGCAGCGGGGGCTGCCGGGAATCGGGACACCTGGACAAAAGGGCGACCAAGGCCTGCCCGGGATCCAGGGAACTCCCGGTTTGCCCGGGCCAAGGGGACCCCCGGGTCCGGAAGGTCCTCGCGGGGAGCCCGGACTCGACGGCATCGACGGTAAGTACTTCCTCGCACCATATATGTTCTCCCCCATATTTACCATATAGCCGCGGATACAACAGCCTGACCGAACTTGGGCTGCAGTCGTAACATCTTTGGGTCTACATGTGTGACTATGATCTCGCGTCTGTGCAGGTATTCCCGGCGAGCCTGGCCTAGACGGACTCCCCGGGCGCAGTGGTAACGACGGCATGCCTGGAAAGGACGGTCTGCCCGGCCTGCACGGCACTCCGGGAACTCCCGGGCGCAACGGCACCGACGGTACGTACAAGCATGTACCCCTCCCCTCCCATTACTACCAAACACCACAGCGCCGAGTCTTTGGGTCTGGCGCTCGTCTGCTCTTTGTACACGTTTGTTTTCCCAGCTGTAAACGAGAGGCAGCTCGAAAGCGTAATTTTTTGCTTTGCTCCTTTCGTACTCGTCCGCGCGTGCAGGAACATTCTTTTCAGTTTTTTTTTTTTTTTTTTTGTTTTTTTTTTGTTCTGTTTTCGTTGCCCGTAACCTGGTGTTTGCACTTGGTGCGATACATCGTATACGCCGGAATTTCTTCCGTGTTTTTGCAAATCGTTGCAACTACGCTTTTAGTGTGCGCGTAGGACGCCCGAGCCGCTATCTCGGTTACGATTCGTCAAAAAAAAAAAAAAGAAAAGAAGGAAAAACCCTCCGTCTCGCTTGAACCGTGAAACGCGATGAAAAATCCAAGATGGAGTCGTTAAACCGTAGCTCTGTGTATACTGGTTCCTTTTGCCGCTAAATGACTATAGAGCTGAGGGTGGAAAAAAAAAAAATGAAATTTCCCTGGGTGGTCGTCTTACCCATGGGCTTCGCTCGATCGTGAATAATCGCTCTAATCTCTTTGCGTGGTAAACACTTCCCCCTCCCGTCTGGACCCTACAGCCACATTGTAGCTGCAGATACCGCGTGATAGAGGGGGTGGGGGTGTAAACAAAGGGGGTGAAGCGCGCGGGTGGTAGTTGCTGGGCTTGATTGGTTAACCTCCTTTACGGGCGGTGCGGGAGCGATAAAAAAAACCAGAGCCAAAGAAGATGAAAAAAAAAGACCCGCAACAACGGAGAGTTAGGGGGTGGAAAATCACCCGCGTATAAGCAGTGGGCACTTTTCTGCCCCTTCCCCCTCCTCGTCGAATTTGTATATCCAACCCTAGACGTTGCACGGTATCTCCCAGCCACGCGGGTTCGTGGAAACGCGGCACAACCGGCCCACGTCGGACGGTAGGTGTTGAACGCACGTGCCAAACGAAGGTGGTGAAACTCCTCTTTGGCAGCGCGAGTGGAAAGAAACGCGACTAACCGACGAGCCGCGGTATCCCCGCGTCAGAGAGCTCTGCCACCGACTCCTCTTTGTCGCCGAACTTTCGCCGCTTCCCCGCTCTCTGTCCATTAAAAAAAGAAGGAAAAAAAGGGAGTGTATATAGCGCGTCATTTGAAATTCTAATTTTAATCATCGCGATCGTAACCCCCTTTGCGCCCCCCGACTTCATTATGCAAAACAGTCGAGTTTTTACACTCGCGAGCGAAAACCCCCGTTGGGCCGGGACTGTTTTTTTATGGGAGCTAGAAGCACCGCGTGATCGAGATTATCGCACTGTGGAAGTTCGTCGGTGAGACAATAATGCATTTATAATTTGTACTTGGCCCGCGAAGCTGTGCGGGGGCGAGCGTCGTATTTTTTCAAAGGTGTTTTTGCCTCCGATGACCTCGTTTCGAACCAACGAGACGAACCCAAGCCGCGGCGCTCGGTGACAAGAGATCGTGTGATTTTTACACTTTTGGGAGCTCTCGAGCAGACACGTGGAAAATAAATCGTCGGATAGCGACCGGCACTATACGAGGGCGAGTTGTAAAAATTTTTTTGCTAATAATAAGCGTAGGTGCACGACAACAGCGGAACGTCGCGATCGATACACATATAGGTGCATTACCTATACACGCCGGGACAATATATAATGTACGAGCTCACGGTGCATGTACATCGGTTTGCTATACCGGCCGCTGCTGGAATTTTTAGGAAATTTTCGAGCCCGACAGATCCCGTACATTACGTGTGTACGTACACATCGGTCCGATGCCTGCACCGGATTGATGGACGTGTAATGCACAAACTTTGGCTACGAGAGCTTTTGGTGCACTTTGCAGGTATATGGACCGGAGAGTAGCTGGTATACCTGAATGTGGCGGTGTATAAATTTCGAAAAAGAGTACACAGGGAAAACACATAAATTTTACTGAATAGCTCTGACAAGTCGAAATGAGAATCTATCGGATCGGCTTAGCCGTATATTAACGGAGCTTTGGAAACGGCTGCATATGTAATATACGTATACGTGTACATACGATGTACAAAAGATCCTTCACTCGGTCTCGTACTCGTGATCATTGTTCCTGCCACTTAGTTGGGCCATCCGAGGAGCGAAAACTTTTGCAATCAAAGACTGGAGGTGCACTAAATTGTTTGCTCCTTCCAAGAGTGACGTCAGATACGAGTGGGCTTCAGTTGTACTGTACTATACGTACTCTTGTGCCTCGCGATAGGGCTTTGTCATCGCACGAGGTACGTTAGCCAGCACAAAGGTATCCTTGTTTGTACAAGAAAGCACAATCGTTGACTCTGAAAGCCGTGGGCTTCCGTTAATCAACGATATCCTTTGACTAGGCTGTAGTAACAGTGTAAATTCAAGTAGTATGCGTTTAACGTTTGCACCTGTGGGTTAAATTACTCAAACGAATTGTGATCGCATTGATAAAAGGCTTTTTTACTGTCTGCAGTTCAATAGATTTGGCTAAATGGTTCATCAAACATCGATTTTATTTTTCTTAAAACGTTTAAGAACTCCTTCTGTACTGTGTTTTTATGAAAAATCAAAGTTGAAACTATCTAGAAACAAAAAAAAAAAACGATGTCAAACGCTGTTTTTTTTTTTTTTACCCCGACTATGCGTACAGTAAAAACTCATCCAGTATACAGTCGCGCGCAAAGCGATCATCCGCAGTTACGAGGCCGGAAAAAAGCGAGTGAAAGCAAAGCGCAGAGATGACATTGCTCGCGTACACTCGGAGCTTTCGTGTATCCGCGTTCCGAGCGCGTCACTTGGCCGAAATTTTCTCGAGCTCTTTCGGCAACTGCAACGACTTTTTGTATCGTCGTACACACGAACACGTTTCGCGAGTTATGTCGCCTCTGGATTTTTCAAAATTCGCCAATTCATCAGTTGCGCATCACTCCTGACTCCTATTATTATTTTTTTTTTTTTTTTTTTTTCTTTTTAACCTCTCGAGAAGCACATCCGATCTTTTCTTCATCTCGTCATACAAGCACTTTTCACCGTATTTTACGAGAAGGGATAGATTTCCCCTGCGGCCTGGCCTTTTTGTACCTTACTAAAAACCGCGCCCGCTTGGACAGCTGTTTTTTTTTTTTTTTTTCATTTAATCATTGTTTCGCTCGATGAAACGCGATTCATCAGATCGAGCCATTGGCAAGTGCTCAGATATCGAGCTTCATATAGGTACATTCCTCCTTATTGTTCGGGTTCATCCGTGCAAACTCAAGTTCCCGTTTCAACTCACCAGCGCGTCGTGGAAAGCTCGGCTCAGCTCCCACATCATATTATTACGTTGTATGGCCCAGTGTTCTTCGAAACAACAACGGACGCGCCGTAACGACGATGACGAATTCCTTTCTTTTTTTTTGTTCCGCTCTACAAAGAGTTTTTATATACAGGTAGTGCTCGTTAGCCGCTGTCACGCCGCCAGACGGATTAAGTATACAGCAAAATCGTTGTTGTTGTTGTTGTTGTTGCTACCACCTCGTTCAACTATACGCAAATTCTTCTAGTTGGATCAAAGTGTGTATACGTACATGCGAGTGACTTTCGATAAGCCGCGTACATAATATACGCTGGTGAACTTTGTGCATAGGTGTACTTATTTTCCGTTAGCTGTGCATGATATGTAAGTGTATACTTGGTACGTAGGTGCCGTGCATTATTATTATTATCGTCCTCGTCGTCGTAATCGTAACTATACGATGTAAGGGTCGAGTTGGGTTTTCGAACTTTGCCCGCGAAACGCAATGTACATGTATACACGCGTGTACATAAACCATTTCCACCTCGTGGCTGCACAAACGCTTGTGTATTTACCCCCTGCCATCGGGAGAAATTGTGTAGATACATAATTTAATGTGCGATTTCAACTAAACGAAACAGCATAGAGAATTGTATTTTGCCCGTAAACGTGACTGTTGACGCCCGAGCGTGGGTGTATACGACAAAAATTTATAGGCGTGTGGTATGGATGGAATTATGGAATATATGCCGTTAACGCAAACCGAATCAGCGGGCTCCGCAACTTTGTTACTAATTCCATGAGTTTGTTTGTTTGTTTGGCTCGCGGTTGGGAGGATTTAAACCAAACAATGCCCCACGTGTATAGAAACGTGAGAACGCCATGTACGAGCTGGTAAAAGTTGCTCATGCTGTTGCACCAGGTGTCCAAATGTTTTTTTCCACCCTCGGGTGGTTTTGGGAGGCTGGTACTTCCTCGGGCGAAAAAGCAGTTTTCCGGAACTCGTTCGAAAAGTCTCCATTACGAACCTCGTTACGTCCCTCGCCTTCGGCTCGGACCGCAAACCTCTCGGTTTGCAAACAGAGACTTTTCAAACTCGTAGGAAAACTACCATTGTTTATTTTTATTATCATTATCATTATTATTTTGAACGCGGTTGCAACAGCTGCAGCAGCGTAAACCGGGAGCCAAAGCCGAGCGCAACAGCGTCACGTGCGCCGAACCCTCATTTCCGGAAGAAGGAAAAAGGAGGAAGGTGTGTATACGTTGCAAGTATTGCCATACGATTCGACGGCGTGAAAATTCATGACTTCTGCAAGCTCGCGTCGGGAAATCAAATTCAAGTGGCTTAAGCTCTCACACACCCACGTACCTGTAATGGTTGCATAAGCATAATACAGAGACCACAGCGAGTCACAAACTTTCTTTTGCGTCCGACGACGCTCGGTTTTTCGGGTGTTAATGCTGCTGCAGAGCTTCAACTAGGGTATTTTTTTTTTTTTTTTTTTATATACTGCCCACTGACACTTCTCGACACAAATGGTAAACCGACGACGAGACGAGAAGGACATAACAGACATATTAAGGACTAACTTTTCTGATTCCAGGGAGGCACGGCTACCAGGGTCCCCAAGGACCTCCAGGACCTCCGGGTACTCCAGGCACTCCAGGTACGTTTTTTCATTGACACGTCGGACCGATCGCCTTCGAGGGAGCTAGAGTAGGTGTAAGTTTGACGGCTCGCTCGAGCATCGTCGTATACCTGTCACGGCGGGGCCAATTAACCCGGGAAAATGGCTCTGCGTATGGTTGATTAAACCATCGGAAGACGCAACGGGAGGGGGGGGGGGGGGGGGGACGCTGAATCAGCGGGGTATAAGCTGATTGCTTCGTTAGTCCGGTTCTTTGGATCAACCGGGTCGCGCGACTGTTGGTAGCCCCCCAACTGTGGAGGAAATTAATTTTTTTTGTTCCCTCCACCTCCTCTTGCTCGCTTTTTTTCTCGCGCCGTGTGAAAGTCTACGCGGGAGGAAAAGTTTTTCCCGAGCTTAATTTTAATCCACATCGAGCGCCGTTTCGCTGACACGTAAATCTTTTTGCCCTCGAGTCGATGGAACTTTTTCCCCCATCCCCCCTCCCCCCTATTACTGTCAGAGTTGTGGGGGTATTAATTCACAAGTGGCTCAAAGTTTTCACTCTCGCGCATTGTGATTTATCGCCATTATCGTCCACGACGCTGGCCAATTAATCTCAATTAGACGGGGACTCGACTCCGGGCAAAGTTTTCCAATAATACCAATGGCGAACAACTTTTTACGAGCCTTTTATTTCCCACTTGAATCTTCGGTCGCAAAGGAGAGTAGGTCTTACACAAATTCATGTGGTGCAACCAGTAATTCTGATAGGAAAGGATTTAAAAGAAAGAAAGATGAACAGCTCCAGCACCCTATTTACGGCTGTAAATTTAACATATACATTTTGCACTACGGAAGCGAGCTCGTGCGGGGTTGATGTTTTATTCGAAATTGTAAAAAGCTCGGCATTGGAAATTAAGATGGATATGTATTATTATTGCGCATCGTTTGACCCTTAAAAAAATCGCACTCGTCGAAAAGACTCACTGAGCTCTGCGGCGGCTCGATGCACGAAACCTCGTCTGCGGTTCGACGCAGGACTCGCCAGACGGGCACTCCAGAGTCACGATGGGCGGGGAGGGGGGGGGGGTCGTTAAGCGGCAAACACAATCATAGTACGGGTAAAAGGGAAAGAGGGAGAAACTGGAGCTGACGCCTGTTGCAGGACAAATGGGCCTGCGCGGTCCACCCGGTCAGGACGGCAAGCCCGGGGCGCCGAGTATCGTCGCTTACACTCCGTTCAAGGTTAACGACGGGACTGGTTTCATCGACCCCACCAAATTGCTAGTGCCGCCCTCCATCGTGGGTAAGTAATTGTTGCTCTGGCTTTTTAAAATTCTTTAAACATACGTGAGAGTTGATTTTTGATTTTTGTTTTTCTGTCGACATTTTTATGGTCGGTTAACTCAGCTTGACGAATGCGTATTTTGATGAATAAAGTTGACGGTTAAATACTCTCAGAGTAATGGGCAATTGGTGCACGAGATTTTCACATCGACGATCTGGGGTTTTTGAACCGTGTGTATTGCACGTTCGAGGGACCGAAAGCAATTTCGTAAATTGGAATTTTGCATCAGGCATCGAGTTTTCGAATTTCAAAAGTAAACGTTTTATCCATCAGGGCGTTATCGCTTTGACTAGCTAAAACCCCCCATAGCTCCATTAAAAAGGTAAATACAAAAGTTTTTACTTTTGGCGGAATTTATGTGTTTTCCATCCTTAAAGCTATCGCGATTCATTGGTATACGGTAGGTACACACACGCCCCTTTGTAATAATCCTCAGCTAGGGAGATAATTCATACAGTTGGGTGCCAATCAACGAACAACATTTGAAGAATATCGCGTTCGTTGATCAATCGGGCAAATTCAGCTCGCTATTTGCCGTTTCAAGGCTACGTACCTACTTGAGCGACTGAAACTTTCTACTCTGCGTGACGACGGGAATTCAACTTTGGAGGTACATTTCAATTTCTTTAAGCTCAAACGCGAAAGCTCGTTAAAAAAAACTTTACATCTTTGGCTCTTTGATCACCGTCGACGACGACGTTTTTGGTGGATAATTAGAAGTCTTGCATTTTTGTGCACTGACAAACAACCCTATACTTTTCCAATTAGAGGTACAGTTCTTGAGTAAAAGTGACTCCTCGATTCTGAATATATTCGGGTGTTACTGGTAGCTCGTCGGATCCAAAAATCCTCGAGAGAGCATTGTTATCAACTTTACCTTATCAACAGTCCAGCTTTTCTTGTTATTTTACCAAATGTACTCAGTGTTGACGATTACTCCGAATATACAGATAAAACATTCAACGCTTGGAAAAATACCAACATTAAAAACGACTTTTGAGCTGAAGTAGAAACATCAACGTACGGTCAGACGCACCTTGATGAAAATCAAAACCGTTGTGTATGTGCGTTATTGTAATTTGATTCGAGTGGTGTTGTTATTAATTATCCATTTGTACGATTTTATGTGATTCTAACATCAATGCTGAAGGATTTTGCACGGAAACTCGTCTTTTTTTTTTTTTTTTTTTTTTTTTTTAAGCTATTAACCTTTCAAATTGGATAATTTTGTTCATTCCATTGCAGAATTTTATTGGAAGTGTCTGTGTTTGATATTATACTGTAGAGAGGTAGTATTTCTGACTTTGAAATGCGTATTTGCGCGGTAATCGATGGTAAAAATGTTTAAGGCGGTTTTTTAATGTTTTGATTAAAATATCCCTGAAGTTTTTTTAAAAACCACATAATACATTATTCCATTTTTTTGGGATCCCTACAATTCAAAAAGTATCAAGACAAATGTAAAAAAATGTTTCAGTAGTAACATCCACGTTTGGTCAGACACATAAAGTACGAACCAACAGAATACACTTTGTACCATTGGCGTTGAAAAAAAAAAAAAAAAAAAATTCCTGACACCCATCGACACTCGATTCCTTAGAAACTTCCGACAAAGACCATAAAACAGCAACAAGAATAATCAAGCACATAGTCACGAACAATAAATAATTAAAGGGAATAAAAATAGTATCCAAAGATAAAAAGCTGCAAGAGCCGCAATACCCACTACCAAAGCGTCCAAATGTTCGCAGGCAGCTCGCAGACCCAGTATGTGGTGGCAGAGGAAGGCCTGAACCTGCGGCTGGAGTGCTTCGCGTCGGGCAAACCGAGCCCCGTCGTTCAGTGGCACAGGCTCGACGGCCTGCCCATACACACCGGTAGCTGGCACGGTAAGCATGCACCCACACTTGCTGTATAATACTGCACTCATGCACCGTTACTTCATACACATTGCACCGTGTTATATACATATATGCATGCGCTCACTTTTTCCTCTCTCTCACTCTCTACCTTTTTCACGTATCGATTGACGTGCGCGCTCTTCCTCTTTCCACCTACTCGTTCTTTTCTTAAACGGCGACCGACTTTTTTTCCTCCTCGTACGTTTACTCAACCCCCTACCTCGCCCTCTATGCCACCTTTTTGCTTTTTTCTTTAGCCCTTCTCCACCCCTTTCTACTCAGGCAGACTACTTCCTCCTTGTCCCCTCCTTTTTCTTTTTCTCTTTACACTTCCGAAAAAAAATCAGGTTCCACTGAATTTTTTAAGCGCCCCAGAGCCCACGTGCTTTGCCCTCTGTCGTCCCATACACCTCTACAGCTGCTGTCATTTATTTATTTATTTATTTTTTTCCAGCGCAACGTACCGATTCACGCGTATTTTTTCCGCGTGCAACCGGAATCGACTCCGGGGCGAGTAAAAAGGCTTCTCCGATATAACCAGAGAAAATTTGCGAGTCCGCTGGTTGAGCCACTAACCGCTCTAATGGCTATCGGGGCACCAAACGCGAGATCCCGAAGCGATGCTTCTTGTATTCTTGCCGAGAGACCGAAAGTATACGACCGGTAGTCATTGTATCGTAGAAACAACGGGCCGCTCGCAGAGAGGGGACAATGGGGAGGGAGGATATTATACATATCTGCGCGGCTACGGGCCAAAAGAGGCCGGGCTTGACTCTCAACTGTGCCGAGCGGCTTTAATTTCCAGACCGTGGCGTTTAATATCACCGCCGCGCACGGACCTGGAACGGAGTTCAGCGTAGCGTGCGCACGAGGAAACGCGTTTATGAGGGGGGGAAGGGTTAATGAGAAGACTTTGGACGTGTTTACGCGCCGTGCACGAAAAAGAGGGAAAAGGATAAACCAAACAATTATTACTCCAAGCTACGCATCGTGATTTTTTTTATTTATTCCCCCTGTCTATCTATCTTTGGTATCATCCGAGGTGACGCGTCGAAAGAGCCGCAACACTGTCCGGACGATCGATCGGTCGGGCTCTCCGTGTGCACGAAACAGTAAATGGTATTTTTTCCCGAAGCAAAAGAAAACCGTCTGGCACGAATAATCTATACGATCCTCGTCCGTCATCGTAGTGGGTGAGCAGGTGCGCGGACGATGAGCGATGGCGACAGCAGTGGGTGAAATTACACGAGGGCAGGAGAAATAGCCGTTTCATCAATTAGCGCGAGGGAGGAAGTAGCTGAGTCACGGGCTACGCGCGAAACTACATGAGAGATGGGCAGGGGTTCTTGATCCACTCGCGGACTGCTAATACAATTGCCCGAACAAAGAACATTGAAATCTCTCTCTCCACGGTGCCGTTGAACAACAGTCAGGGGAGCTTTGCAACGGAGCATCGTATGTGTAGGAGGTGTGGGTACATGGGCGGTTGGAATGGAAAATGAAGGCCGAAAACAATGTCGATCGGTGGTAGGAGCTTACTTGGATGCCAGTGAATTATTCGAGCCCGGCGTCATGATTCATGCAACTCGGTGGAGGCTCGAGCGACGGCCTCTTTCACAGCCGCGCGATACCACTGCTCAATTTTTAACGACTGGTGATCCACCGGTATACGTATACGCGTCCTCTCGTGTCGCTACGATACTTTATCCGAGCTGCCGAACGCCCTTTCCATGCCGTTTTTTTTTTTTTTTTTTCTTCTTTATTTCCGTTTTCCAAGCAAAATTAATACCTGCGTGAAAAAAGATCACAGATGGATGTGGACGAAATGTCTTGTGTGTTCGCAGCTACCGCGATTTACGGAAACTCCTTGAACCTGTCGTCCGTGCACAGAGACGACATGGGAAACTACACGTGCACCGCGGACAACGGCGTGCCTCCGAGTTCCAGCAAGTTGATTCACCTCAGCGTCAAGTGTAAGCTCATCCATCCTTTTCCTACGTACACATGTACCGTTGCTCATTTTATTTTCCCACTCGAGCGTGCAGTGGAGCGAAAACGATGCATCATTCATTAGCGCGAAATTCATTTACTCCGGCCGAGGGTGGTGATGAGAGACCAAAGGATATTACGGTTGACAAGCGCCCCTGACGTTTACGCCGCCGATGGAAACTTCACGCACTGTACTGAGGGACCGCACGTGTCCGTCAGCGTTTCCTTGTCGCTCGATGTCTCCGTTGGCACTCGAAGGCCGATAACTACCGCCTGTCCTCTCGTGTTCGGTTTCTATGAATATTATACCCACACCCTCGTGTGCGCTTTGGTGCAGTGGCCGGAGTGGGGTGGATCCAAGTAGAGCTTTTACGGGTGTGCTTTTCGCGCGTCGTCGCTCTCGCGAAATTTAACGTACCGGATATGCTCAAATTTCATCGAGTTACCGGTATTACGATTATTTTACAATACCGGGGAGCTCAAAGGGATTATCCGTGTCGTTTGGTTGTTCATTGAAACGATTCGACTCCCATTGGATTTCGCGCACGTGTGTTTTTTTAAAGCTTTTCCTTCTCGAGGGTTGTAATTAGCAATGAAATTTTTGCACGAATGCGTTGAAGAAATTTTCATCTCTTCATTTTTGTTGCAGTCCCATTTTAATATATCGAACAAAGTGAAGTCGATCGGTAATCCAAAGTATAATAACCCTCACAATTCATAAGAATCAACGGAGACAGTCACGTCAGTGAGAAAACACGCCGAATGAAAGATCAAGTAGAAACGGTCAATATTCGGTCAGACGCGGCTTAAAACTGGTCCCCACCCCCTTCGTACGTACACGCGCAGCCGATGGTACACCTCGTAATCCAGATAGAAAAAGAGAGAGAGAGCCTAGTTGGCGATGATGGAATTCCCATACTTTCTTTTTTCCTAATGCATAATAAATAACACCCACACACCTGTGTGTACTTGGCACGCAGTCGGGCCGCTGGTACGGATAAAATCTCCGGTAGTCCGAGCACGTCATCACGGCACGGCGCTCCTCGAGTGCGAGGTCGATGCACACCCCAGGCCGGAACTGCACTGGGAGAACAGGGACGGCCGCCTCGAAAACAGGCTCAGCAAGTACCATTTCCACGAGGAGGAGCGCGGACGGGAGAAGGTAAGCTCGTAGCTATATATATGCACGGGGGCGCTCTCGCACGCGATGACGGGGAACAACACTCATCGCGTACGTGCAGCGAACGGCCCGTGTTTTCCCACCTGGTACAGTTACACACGTTGAATCATCGGCTACCCGAACTGAATACGTGTAGAGCTAATGTATTCCAACCATACAGTGTCGGTTGGTTGTGATTCATAACCACAAGGGGGGGGGGTCGAATGATTTTTACGTTTGCAGTACCGGATGAGACTGAAAATCAACAAGGTCAGCTCGGCCGACTACGGGTCGTACTACTGCGTGGCCAAGAACTTTATAAACACCATGAACAGCGCCAGGGGCGTGATCGCGCTCAGGGGTGAGGGATGCTACGTTTTTTTTTTTTTTTTTTTTTTTTTTTTTTTTGAAAAATTCGGAACGAATACGTGCATCCTCGTACGTGTACTTCACTTTCAGATCCGAGCGAGAAGACGTCGGAGTCGAAGGGCTCGAGTGTCTTTGGCAAGCTGCCACCGGGTAGGCCTCACTATCGGGACCTATGTCCTCCGCCCTTGCACTGCAACAGCTGTCCGCGAGCCAACTGTGGATTCAACGGCGTCGAAGCGAGGCCCATGACCGGTGACTTTGAGAGCATGCCTCCCCGGCTGGCTGGTACGTTATTTTGGTATCCTATCTTTACGTACTCTGTGGTGGTCAATTGCAAAAGGGGGATTGTATACCTGAAATTGGTTACAGACGGCGTGATAGGCGCGGTGGGCATAGCCGTGTTCAAGGGCCAGATGGACGACTCTTACGGCATTTGGATGCAGGACACGATGCCGAGGAGCGAGTCGTCGGCGGGCAAGTTGTGGGTGACGCGTAGCAACGACACGGCCAACGTGTACGAGTACGCGGACATCGACGACTACGCGCGCAAGAGGACCCTGCGCGTCGTCAAGCTACCCTATCCCTTCCAGGTATAATAGTACTTAACTTATGAGCTCCTTCGACCCGAGTCGTATATCACGTCGCCTACCTCGGCCATGTTTAAATTACACCTGATGGGCTGCCCAGTGGGGATTTATCGCCTCTTGAATATTCAATAAGCGGCCGAGAAAGATTCCTCGCGATCGTGCAGTCACATCCGGGGCTTCCCTCGACAAAGGCCAGACTCTCATCGTGGATTCTCCACTGTAATTACGACGATACCTACTTCCTTCTTCTTCTTCTTCTTTCGTGCGATCATTCACTTCGTGGTGGAAAATTAAAAAAGACCGACACTACACGCGTACCTCTCGGAAACTCGATATCACCCCGACTGAGTTTTTATATGCTTTTCCTATAACTCAACTGCGAGCCTTGAAATATACGCTATATATACAATACAGTACATATCGGGACCCCGAAGGAGAGCCGAAAGCAAATGGCGATCGAACGAGCGGGAGCTCAAATATTTCCGATTGAATTACTATCGGATTGAACGCCATCTCTCTCTTTCCCACCGGAAATTAATTAAATTGCATTCAAATTAGCCGAGGCGTAGTGCACTCGATGGTATAGGAACTCCCCCGTCGAGCCGGATCTTTCAATGAAATACGCGACGCGGTCCCGAGACGTTTCACCCGCGACCCCTCGCTTTTTCCAAAGTGAATACGATGTATATATTACACGTAAGCCACGAGGCTTCGTTTTGTTCATTCATATAACGCGCGTATCTTTTCATTTGCCCTGTGCCGATGCAAAAAAAAAAATGAAAATAAAAAGAATAGCTTTTCCTCCGAGAGCACGCGCTTCGTTATTTATTCCAAGCTGATACTGCAAGTTTGAAAATAACAAGCTCCCCGGTGTTGATGCTGCACGCTCGTAAAAATCCAGCTGCAAGCGATTCTCGCGTGCATATAATCATCGCAAACTGCAGAAAGCGATCGAGACTCCGCACGATGACAAAAGAGCAGGGACTGAGAGGGGAAGCGAAGAGCTTGCAACGCCTCCCCCCTTGATTCCAGGATACAACATGTGCACTGTTCGCAGGGTAACGGGCACCTCGTGTACGGGGGCTACTTTTTCTACAACCCGTACAACCGATCGACCATCATACGCGTCGACCTGGGCCAGCCCGAGGGCACGATCTACAGTTACCCGCGGATGGAGGCCAGCCTGTCCGGGCTGCGCGTCAACACGGGCAATTACTTGTACACGCCCAATCACAATTTCAACTACGTCGACTTTGACGTGGACGAGAACGGTGGGTATATTGTATGTTACAAAATTTATGCTCGAAAAGTCCGATATTTGTATAAGTGCATATTATACATATACATGCTCGAGTGAAAGAATACGCGTTTGGTCAGACAACAGCCGACCAAAGGCTCGAGTAATTAATTCATCGTGTATACAAGTCAGTACGGTTGTATTACGTTTTCTTTGATAATAGACAGCGGATGGGGAAAACTCATTTTCCATTTCCATTGCCGATCGTCATTATTTCCCGCTGCACTGACTACCCCTGCATACAGCCGTACGTATAAGGTCCTCGAGGGTATTACCACGCGCGGCTCTTGGTATATATACATTTACAGCGATCCTATTGTCAGCCTCGCCGGCTTACTATATACATGTATGTACCGAAGGAGCTTCTTGTTCGGGAACAAATGGAAATTGCACTCGAAGAGAGTGAAAAGAGCCCCCGCGAAGAATAAGCTTAAAGCCCGGGTACATCCGGACCCTTACGGTCGCTTGTGCGCGTAGACTCGCGTGTGCCCCGAAAGCTTTTTCCCCGCAGCGTGTACATGGGCGTGTGTGTGATCCACAATATATATATATATTATATGCCGGTACCGATAATGGCCGTGTCTGTCTATTCGCGGGGGATTAATTTTTTTTCCAAGGTAACAAAAGAAAAGCACGATTCGCTCACGTTGTACGAGGTACGAGCTCCTTTGATCGCACATCCAGATGTCGGGGACACTGGATTATTATCATCATCGAGACGCAGTGAATATCCAAAGTTCCGAGCGCCCCCGAAGTTTTTGGCTCCGGACGGCGCAAATCGCTCCAAAGGCAAACTGCGTGGCAAAGTTCAAAGTTGGCTCGTACATACTTGCGCTCACACACCCGCAGCACATACGGAAGGATACGTACACGTGTGGGTGGGTGTATCCACGTCGAAGCTCATCGCGAGGATTTGCCGTGAAAACTGCTTTGCTCTGAAAAATTAACAAGCTTTTGCGCTAGCAACGCATTCAGTCGCTCCAAGAGTTCGATCGAGGGAAATGAAAAACTACGTCACGTACAGGCTTTTTGATGGACGAAATAGCGATTGAGGTCTTTTTTTTTTTTTTTTTTAATTCAAAGAGTAGGTAATTAAACTCGCGCGTTTCATTAACTTTCCACCAATCACTTTTTTCACCTTGTTATCTGCTTTTTCGGCGTGGACCTATACTAATGGAATTGATTTTTATTTGCGGAAAATAACAATTTTAGTAACATGGTAAGTTGAAAATATTAATACATCCTCGCCTTCATCTCTACGACTCTCAAAAACAATTTCCTCCTAATTATTCAACTAGTAATTTTAGTACACTTGTATTATCCCACGTACACGATACCATTCGTTGTACGTGTACAAAAAAGTGCGTGATAACGACTTTTCGCGTAGTTTTATGCATATTATACGACTGAGCATTATATAGTATAGATATACAACGACATGTGAAAGATGGCAAAGGAGGTGTATGATCGGATCGGCGAATGTGCCTGTTTTGCAGGTTTATGGGCCATTTACGGTAGCGAGTCGAACGAGACGGTTGTGACGAAGGTCGATACCGAGCGCATGAAGTTCCAGAACGCCTGGACCATAACCGTCGATCATCACAAGTACGGCGAGATGTTTGTCGCCCGCGGCGTTCTCTACGCCGTGCACAGCATCACCGACAAGACCATGAACATCAGGTATACCTTTTGCACTTACTGCGGAGCAAATGATACTTGAAACATTTTACCATCACACGATTATACGAATACCTTTACAACACACATCAAGGATGCATTGTTCAAAGCCATCATTCTTTCATCCATACTTGCGTCTTATTGCGTCTTTGAATAATACATTCGGAGGGGCGATGGTATTTTAAGAATTTCAAATATTTTCAAATGCTTTTTTAATTAAAATCATCGAATTTGTTAAAATATTTCATCCTGATACCACAACCGATAAAACACAATCTTTATCAATGTATTTAAAA